GCATAGTTTGAATATCAATCCAGAGTGTTTAAGATAAAGACACGCGCGCGGCAGTGTTTCTCTGGGTGTCGAAGTTTGAGAAGGCTCAAGCTTAGGTCAGGTAAGGATCATGGCTCCCAAAATGGGGAGGACTGCCAAAGCTATGGCTGCAAAGTCAGCTGCCAAAGCTTCAGCTGGCAAGAAAGTCAAAAAGGAAGTGAGAACAACGCCCAAGGCAAAGCCGAAGCGTGTCAAGGAGCCTGTTTTGGAGACTGCTGGCGATGCCTCGGCCTCAGACCAAGCTGCCAAAAAGGAAGATGGCCAGGCGCCCATGGAGCAGGATGGGTCTGGGGCCCCACCAAGCCAGCTGGGCTACGCCAGAGGGCACAGTGAGCGCGCTTCTCACTTCGCTAAAATACCAAGTGAAGGCAAACAAAACCAGTGACTCCCAGAAGGATGACGCACAGAAGGTGTTGCAGGACCGCCGCATGCATGTTTGAGTTTGCAGTGGGTTTCTTGGCCACCTACTTACCTGACAGCTTGATCTCCTTGGTAGGAGTACGAAGCGGGCACCATTGAGGAGAAGAAGTTGATTCTGGACAAACTGCAAGAATTCGGAGTGAAGAATTGCAGCTGGGTCCACAGCCTGGAGTCCCTGACATCTAACATTAAGGACGAGACTGAGTCCTTGGTCACCAACTTCTTCACCAGGTTGTTTGGCTTAGTAGTGGCTTTTGTTTTTCTCTCAGTTTCATGGCTTGCTAGCAGCATTCTGGGATTGCGCCAACGCAGCTGAGGCAAGGGATCTTCGCCATCGAGCATATTGACACAGCCGGCCTGTCAGAAAATGACAAGGATGAGATTTTGGAGGAGATCCTCTCCAAATCTGAGAAGAGCTTTGGCCACTCGAGGCAGGTGCAAGAACACCCAAAGTTCAAGCAGTTGCACAAGTACCTTTTTGTCTACACCAAGGGCAAGAAGAACACTGAGGGCACAAGGACAAGCAGCAGTATGTCAAGCACTGCTGCGGGCATGCCAGTTCTTCTGCAGTTGAGCATGGCATGTCTGCATCTTTGTCTGATGCCAAGTCTGAGTCAAAGAGCCTGCAAGCTGCGAGGGTTCGCCTCAGCAAGCTGTTGGAGGACTTAAAGCTCCTGACAGCCGAGATCGCTGGCCTGAAGGATAACAGCTGGGGCAAAAAGCTAGGAGAGTTGGAGAACGCTGACAAGCAGTTGTCTGGCTTTTTGTCAGAGGTGAGGACGCAGCTGGCCGTTCCCTTTCCAACCGACAAGCAGCAGGAGGTGCCAGATCTGCTTGCCCAGCTGAAGGAATTGAATGAGAAGGCAAGCATGCACGAGAAAGCAGTGAAGCTGATCTACAAAACGACCAAGAGTTTGCTCTCCTGAGAAGATATAGTACAGGAGCCACGCCTGTGGATTTTGTTTGCAGGCTTGTCCTAGATGGAAAAAGCAGCAGATCGAGTCATTGAGATGCTTCGCGCATGGGTGGTTGTGTGTGTGTCTGCATGCCTCTTATATTTTCTTGGCCGGTTGGCTCAAGCTGTAGTTTGAAGGTTGGCCCACAATCACTGCAGTCACAGTTCAAAATAAGATAAAACAAAGCTAAATCTCTTAAGCGCTCGCCTCTAAAGCGCCATAACTTTCAAGTGTGCACTTGTTTGGTAGGGCAGAGATGTACAACAAAAGGACACTGCCATGCGAGGAAGTGAATGACATTCCTCCGGAGAAGAGGTTTCGAGCAGACATGATTGACATTTTTTTAAACAATGACTTATCTGGACAAAGGTCAGCCAGAGTATTAGGCAACGCTTCCTTGGCTGGAACGCAGCACATCCAAGATTTGCAGGTGGCGCCAGGCAAGAATGCTTACAGAAATTTGCTGCGAAAGTGTTTTCGAAACACAAAATGGCCTGCGCCGTATGAGCTGCAAGTCACAGCCTTCAATGAGGCTACGGACGCAGAGTAGAAATCCAAGCTGTGCATGCTGATGCCGCATGAAGTGGTTCACGCGCTGTTGAAGGTGAATGACCCTCGGGTCTTGCTGGAGCACCAACGGGCAATCTTGGCTGAACGGCCCGACCTGGAGCAGCATTTAGCAAATTTCGACTTGGCCAAGGATGATAAGGTGCTGCTCTTGGGGCTATGGATCGATGGAGTCCCATTCAATTCTGACAGATCGCAGACTCTGGAGACCATTACATTGTGCTTGTTTGGAGAAAAGGGCTTGAGAGTGCTTTTGCGTGCTTTTGAAGGCAATGCGAGCTAAGGGAAAGACATATGAGTGCATTTTTGAGGCATTGGCTTGGAGCTTCAGGATCTTATTAGTAGACAAAATGCCTCACCAGAGGCACACGCAGCAGGAATTCAACAAGAGTGATGCCTATAGAAAAAAGTTGGCAGGCAAACCAGTGGGAGTGTGCGCAGCTCTGGCAGAGATGAGAGGAGACTGGTCAATGTACAAGGAGGTACTAGATTTTCCAAGCTGGTCTGCCAAGGGGCATATCTGCTGGCTTTGCAACGCCACCAAGACTGACTTGAAAGATTTCAGCAACGCAACATTTGAGAAGTGTCTTGTCTGAGATTGTTAGATAAGGGCTTAATTTGTGGTTCATTCGTATAGGCATGACGCAGCCCTAGCAGGCTAGCCTGCCCTTAAGAATTCTTGTGCTGGCTTTCGTCTGCTCAGGTATCCTTTGATTTCGGCGATGGATTTCTTCTTGAGGCAGCAGCAGTCTGGAAAACTGATTTCAGCTCTCTTTTCAGTTCCTGGCTTCACTACTCAGAGCTGCAAGGTGGATTTCCTTCACTGCTGCGACTTGGGGGTGACGGCTGACTGGCATGGCTGCTTGCTTTTTTACATTCAGCAGCAGAAGATCGCAGGAGTTTCCATGCGCGTCAGATGCGCCAAGCTGTTTCATGATATTCAGCAGTTCTACAAAGACAACAAGGTTCAAGACAGGTTGCCAAAGCTTCTCCCCACCATGTTGAGACGCGAAGTCAAGGGAAAGAAGAAAGTTCCAAAGCTTCGAGTCAAAGCAGGAGAGAGCAGAGCTTTGGTGCCGTGCTGTTTGCAGCTGGCCACTCAATACATGGACGCAAGCATACCTCATGAGTCAGCTATGCTGCAGGGTTGCAAGCACTTGCAAGCTATGTACGCTTGCTTGAGTGCGGCGAACTGGGACGCTGACAAATTCCTACGAGCAGCGCAGAAGTTTCTGTTGCTCATGCGCACCTTGGAAAGTTTCTTTGGGGAAGATATTTTGTTTCGAGTGAAGCCCAAAGGGCACTTACTTCTGGAGCTGGCTAGGTCCAGAACCAATCCTGCGCACACTTGGACATATCGAGATGAGTCGTTTGGCCACACATTGGCATTGCTGGCCAGACGAAGAGGAGGAAAGTTTTCCATGGCAGCAGTTTCCAAAGCGACATTGCTGAGATTTCTTGCTGCCAACAAGGTGCCTAGACTGGACATGTGAAGTATATAGCGCCGGGCAGCGAGCTTCAGAGGTTCTTGCTAGCAATGGACAAAACACAAAACGGTGTAAAATGAAATTATGAAAAAACGCATTCCATATATATTGAAAGTTGCACAACTCAGAAGCAACAATGCTTAATTAAGCACTGTTTCTACAATGCTTAATTAGACAATGATTGCCTAATTTTTTTGTCATAAACAATCCCTAAAGTTAAATAAGCACTTTTGGAGGCTCTGGGTCTCGCTCGCAGGCGGTTTCCGCCTGTCACGAGCGTCCACCGCGCCAGTCTCGCTCGCGGGCGTGTTCCGCATGTCACGAGCGTCCACCGCGCCAGTCTCGCTCGCGGGCGGTCTCTGCGTGTCACGAGCGTCCACCGCGCCAGTCTTGCTCGCGGGCGGTTTCCGCATGTCACGAGCGTCCACCGCGCCAGTCTCGCTCGCGGGCGGTTTCCCCATGTCACGAGCGTCCACCGCGCCAGTCTCGCTCGCGGGCGGTTTCCGCCTGTCACGAGCGTCCACGTTCACGAGCGTCCACCGCGCCAGTCTCGCTCGCGGGCGGTTTCCGCCTGTCACGAGCGTCCACCGCGCGAGTCTCGCTCGCGGGCGGTTTCCGCATGTCACGAGCGTCCACCGCGCCAGTCTCGCTCGCGGGCGGTTTCCGCGTGTCACGAGCGTCGTCTCGCTCGCGGGCGGTTTCCGCATGCCACGAGCGTCCCCCGCGCCAGTCTCGCTCGCGGGCGGTTTCCGCATGTCACGAGCGTCCACCGCGCGAGTCTCGCTCGCGAACGGTTTCCGCATGTCACAAGCGTCCACTGTTCCAGTGTCACTTGCGGGCGGTTTCCGCATGTCACGAGCGTCCACCGCGCCAGTCTCACTCGCGGGCGGTTTCCGCATGTCACGAGCGTCCACCGCGCCAGTCTCGCTCCCGGGCGGTTTTCGCATGTCACGAGCGTCCACCGCGCCAGTCTCGCTCGCGGGCGGTTTCCCCATGTCACGAGCGTCCACCGCGCCAGTCTCGCTCGCGGGCGGTTTCCGCATGTCACGAGCGTCCACCGCGCCAGTCTTTCGCGCGCGGTTTCCGCATGTCACGAGCGTCCACCGCGCCAGTCTCGCTCGCGGGCGGTTTCCAGCCAGCCTCGCGCGCCCAGTCTGCGCCACACCGCCGTCCCCCCAGCCAGCCAGTCTCGCTTGCGGGCGGTTTCCAGCCACGCCCAGTCTGCGTCCCATGAGCCAGCCAGTCTCGCTCGCGGGCAGTTTCCAGCCAGCCTCGCGCACCCAGTCTGCACCACACCGCCGTCCCCCCCAGCCAGCCGCACACCGCCGTCCCCCCAGCCAGCCTCGTACGCCCGGTCTGCACCCCCAGCCGGCATCGCACGCCCGGTCTGCAGCACAACGAAATGGAAATCCCTTCTTATCTCCGTCGTCACAGCTTGTATCGCTCCCAGGCACCTTAAGAGAAAACCTAAGGCAGAACCCAAGCATCAGAGATGCTTTTGGGAAAAAACAAATGCATGTTGCCATCGTGCCTCCGTGCCGAGCGTGACCGATTGCCCAAGTAGTGCAATCTCCTCATCTGCGTCCTGACGAAGGTATTGCGTCTTGGTGGCTGTCAAACATCCGACCCCCTTGCCTGGTGCTTTCTCATTCTCTGGCAACAATGTTCTGTAATTCCCTGATTGGACATACAGGCATCCCTAGTCAATAACTTTCACTGGTGAGCTTGGTGTAGCCCCAGCTATTTGCTGCGCTTTGACTTGAATACGCTACTTGTATTTGAAGGTAAGCTCGATGTGATTTATCCAGCATTATGACTTCGTCGTGGGGAAGGCGCGCTGCATGAAGCCATGAGTACCAAATAGCATTTAAGCATGCTTGGCGGCAGCATGCAGCAGCCTCCAATCGCATATGATGTGCACCCTTGCGCACAGCCATCCACCAAACCGCGCACGCATGCCTGCATGCATGCATGCATGCACTGATGTACGCGTGCGCGTGCACACCAAGGCGCTGGATCGCAAAGCCCGCACTCTTCCTTCAACCGAGGTCCCTCCCTTTCTGGACGACATGTTCAGGATTTTGTGAGTTGAGTATTGGTTTCGTCGTGGCTTAGCGTTTGGTATTGGTTGAGTACTTGGTTCTAAGGCCCCCTAATCCCGAATGCGGTTGGATTTGGGGTCGGAGGAGCAAATCGCTGGAAAATCGCCAGTGTCGGCTTAGAATGTATCATAATTTAGGACGTTGGACATTCCAGACCAATTTTTGATATTGAAGGACCGTTTTTTGCTTTTTTCTAATCGAGGGGGGGAATACAAGAGCTTCTTGTTGGCGGTGCGTTGCACATATTTCCCCCTAGAAATGTCCACGGTCCAACTTAGCAACAGCCAAGGTAGCAGTGGCCCAGCAATGTGAACAGCCTCGTTGAAGCTTCCCTTCCCACCAGCAAGCCTGCGGCGAGATGCGCCCGCTGGTCCGCTGCTTTGCAATGCTGTGGATGTGATTGAAGAGCGAGTGCTCAAACACCCGCTGGACTGGAGTCCTCGTCTGCACATCACAGCCCTGCAATGCCAAGCAACCGTTGGATCCTTTTGAGTCAGCTTGTGGCAACACGACTGGGACAAAGGAGAAAAAGGTTTTGCCTGAAAATCCAATAGAAGAACAACGGCCAAGCGGCATGGTGCTTGAGACACCTGCATTCTCGTCTCGGACCAAGGACAGGACCTCACCCATGAGCACCTGTCCGAGAACCGAGACTCGCCTCGGAATGCTTCAAGCAAGACTCTGAGTCATCAGACTCTCATTGACCAGTTGCTCAGGAAGAAACTTGAACAAGTCGGCAGCCCGAAGCTCCAAGGCGCGCCCGCAACATTGGCGCCCCAAGCCCAATGATATGTCGGGGGCCACGGGCCAGTGTTCTTCCTTGCGGAACGATACGGTGCCTTTCTTTGACCACCAAATGAGGCTCACAAAAGCAAATGGTCCGGCGCCATTTGCACACGAGTAGAGCGCCCACTTTTCACAACTCCTGCTCGAATGGCAACGCCCACGCCTCCATCTTCGTCTCCAAACGCCAAACATCAATGGCCTTTGCACTGCCCCGTAGCCGCGCAGCGCCTTCGATGAACTCCGTCAAGGTGATCTGCGAAAGGCGCACTGAATAGAATTCGAGCCGTGATCTGTTTGGTCAGGCTCAGCTGGTGATGGCCCACGTTCACGCGCATCCAGGTCAGCCAACATTGGCACAAACAAATCAAATGCACGCATGGCAACTTATAACTTGATTTGGAAAAGCCGCCTTACCTGGCTACCGATCAGGCATAAAAACACAAGACCAGCATGCTCTCCAGCAAATGCAGCCGCAAGCGTTTTCCCGCACAACAGCGCAAAGGAACCCTGTATGGCCTGCATGCTCACCCTGGCATGAGGGAGTATGGGGCAGCTCGGGAAACCCAATCGGCACTCAATCGGCCGATTGGCGATTGGGCGCCAATTGAATTCCATCCGACATAACGCCACATGCTTGCGGAAACCGATTTCAAGCCGAACCAACTCACGAAAAGTGGGCAAAGCCAACAATTCGCGTTCAACGCCACAACACCATGTTCTCGGCTTACCCCTCGCCAAGAAGCAAAAACGCAATGGAGCAGCTGGTCAGAAAGAGCACAGCCATGCGAATGCGAACACGAAACATTGCCCCACCACGCGGAAGTGCCCTTTCGCTGCCTGGCCATCTCCGTTATCGAGGAACTCGAAGAGGCTAAGCAAATCCTTAGGCGACGCATGGGAAAAAAGCGCAAAGGAACGACACGTCCAAAGCGGCTTGTAGTTGCGACGATAAAAAAAACGAATCAGCCGGTACATTATCACGCTTCTACATTTGTGTGGTTCATCCCGGGCCTTTGCACGTGAACTTGTCGTTGCTTGATTGGACGCGTCTCCATTGTCACGATTTGATGTCCAAAGCCGGGCTCGCCCACTTGCAACTCACACGCACCACGGCCCGAACCTGTCCTACTAGCAAGGCGCTTACAGACTGTGTGGCCCTGCCAGTTGCCAATTGCATCGGCGCCTGAGCGAAGACGCTTCATCGTTTTCGCTTTTCCCTGTGCGGTATCTGGCGGGTAGCAATCAGTGCAAGCGTATCAGCCCCAATGGCAGTCGCATGCAAACGCTATTCTTCGGTGCGCAGGTCTTGGACCAGCTCGAAGCTGGCTCTTGCTCCTGCGCCCGTGATGTGCGCCCAAAGCTGCTGCCATTTGGGCCAGCGGCCTCGCAGGAAATGGGGCTTGGAGGGTGACGATAGCCGAGCAGCGGTGCATCCCAGCTTATGCTGGAGTACCCCGATAGGTACCTGACCTCTTCCAGTCTTGGCTTGGACGCTGTGGGCGAAGAGGTTCGGCAGGTATCCCAGTATGTAACGCATGGTCCTGCTGCCCATGTCACTCAGATATATGGCTATGAATTTTTTTAGGGGTCTGTAACGCGCGACGCGGCACGAATCTTGTTACGGAGGTCTGTAACGGAGGTCCTTGTTACGCAGGTCTGCAACGGGAAAAACATTTCCTGACAAGCAGAATCAGGAGCACATCAACGCAAGCCAAGCTGCGGCAATAAGCAGGGTCGCTGGCCCGGGCTGGGGTTTGGTCTGTAACGAGGTATGTGACGGCTATGTAACCAGGTCTGTAACGAGGCAAAGCAAAGCGCAGTACGCAAAGCGCAGTGCGCAAAGCGCGCCTCCGCAGCACCAGCTATTCAACGCAAGCCAAGCTGCGGCAAAAAGGGGGGTCGCTGGCCCGGGCTGGGGTTGGGTCTGTAACGAGGTATGTAACGGCTATGTAACGAGGTCTGTAACAAGGCAAAGCAAAGCGCAGCATGCAAAGCACGCCTCCGCAGCCCTATTCAACGCAAGCCAAGCTGCGGCAAACAGCAGGGTCGCTGGCCCGGGCTGGGGTTGGGTCTGTAACGAGGTATGTAACGGCTATGTAACGAGGTCTGTAACGAGGCAAAGCAAAGCACAGTACGCAAAGCGCCTCCGCAGCTCCAGCTTGATTGCAGCTATTCAACGCAAGCCAGGCTGCGGCAAAAAGAGGGCAGTCACGTCACTGGCCCGGTTTGTTCATCTGAGGTGTGTAACGAGGGTGTGTAACGAGGGTGTGTAACGAGGGGTGTGTAACGAGGGGTGTGTAACGAGCCAGCTGGTCTTGTTACAGAGGTCTGTAACGAGGTCTGTAACGAATGTCCGCCGCGGCTCTGTTACAGACCCCTCAAAAAAATCGCTGCCATATTATCAGTGGGGCGCCTGCGGCCCCGCTATGGCAGCCGACGTGTGGCCTCGTGCGCTGAGGAGCGTGCACTCGGCTTCCATGGGCAGCTTCAGATCCGGCCCGGTCCCAAGTCCGGGATCCGGCTTTCTTTCCGACTTCGATTCAGTTTCTCTTGAAGGTGGGTGGTGTGAGGCTTCCGGTGTTAGTTGTCGTCCGCACCAAAAAAGGGTTCTGGGTTCTTCTCGCTCCGTGCTAACAACAACTTGGCTACAGTCAAGCAAAGCATTGTGGCAAGCCTCTCTATAGCTGACTGGCACCTTAACGAGGGCTTGCTCTGCCCGAACAAGAATGCTGGTTTTCCAGCGGCAGCTTACGTAATGTCGACGAGTCTTAGTGGCACCTGCTCGCTTCGGAGATCCATGGCTGATTTCTTGATGAACTTTAGCGGAGTATACTCTGGCTTTTCTCCTAGCAGTCTTGGCCGGATTACCTGCTTGGCAGGCTTCTGCTGGTGTTGAAGGATCATATCGGGCGGAAACCATCAGAGATATGTGCTTACCACAGCTTCCGTAAGCCCGGCCCCGCGAATCCAAAGTCAAAACTCACCCACTCAGCCACCCATCCACCCACCTGCCCAGCTGCCCATTCACCCTCGATCCCACCCATGCTCTCTCCCATTCACTTGCTCGCTCACTCACTGTCTTGCTCCCTCGTTCAATGCACAGAAACGGACAAGTTCACATCAGCGCCCAAGGGGCTCATACCGGCAAATGGCTGAAACCTGCAAACTGCTGCAGCGCTACACGGCGGCACGCCTTTACCCAAGTGGGAAGCGATCTTGAAGCATTCCCACTCACTAGTGCCCAGGAAGCCCATTTGCGCTTGCTCGCGCACACCTGTACGTGTACGTGAGAATCAATGAACTACACGGCGGACGGCGGGCTCAAGAGGCATGTGAAGGCTCCAGCTGCCCTGCACAAATAAGCAACATGACCAGAAATTAACTCGTGCCCCGTGCACTGTATCTTTGCTCAGGCATGCCTAGTGCAAGTGTGCGCACGGCGCGAATCTGCTCTGAAGTAAATCGTTTGCAAAGGCAAATTCACAAGTGTCGTCTGCTGATTTGTCCGTTCACAAAAACTCTCCACTCATTCGCCGGGGATCTTTAACACAGAGTGGGGTTTGCTTCATGTGGGCTGGGCTGGCTGGGACTGACACTGCAAGTATAAACGTGATCCATCCAGTCCGAGCATCATGGTACTCTAGCTCTAGCTGACTCATCCAGAACCTCAGCTGTCAACTGGAGATTGCGAGGTCGGCCGGTGGAAAGTGACCCCTACTTAGAGGACCCGGAAGGTAGAACATTGTGGGGAACCCCCCCAATCGACTTTTGCGGGGCCCCATAAGGTCTAAATTCCAAAGCTCGAAATGTGGATACCGCGAATCACAGCAGGGCAATTACCTCTCAAGTAGGCTTGAGCGCAACATCCAAAGCACGTAAGCGCGGCTACACCTGTGCAATTTTATTTGGCCAAAGTGTTGAGGCAACCGTTGCCTTGACTGCATCTT